AGGCTGTTGAGTAAATAACAAGCCAAGGTGTGGAATACAAGACGAGCCTGTGATATAAAACCCCAGGGCAGCATTTGTACAACAAGTCCAACCCACTTCGGAGTGTAGCAAAGCTTTTTAGTGCCACTCTGTGCTGTCTCCAGAGCATGACAGCAGCTGCAGAGCAATTGTATCACTGGGTTACATTCAGCAACTTTCCCCTCCCAGCATTTCCCAGTCATAGTGCAGTTAGTGACAGTTCTGCCTTTGGGTGCATTAGGTCTGAATAAGAGACAGGGAGACAAATGTCAAGCAAGTCTTGATTTACATGTTCTTCTCAACTGATTGTTTGAGAAACTCAAATTAAGAATTCACACAAGCTCAGCTTCTTCTCTACTGCCCCCAGAGAGCTTAAACCAGAGCTTTTGCAAGATTTTCTATTGTCTTGAAAGGACTTTGGATCCAGCCCAAACCAGCCATAGCAGGGCTCTGTGGAATAATTTCTAAAGTTAATTGTAGGGTATGCATGCGAGAAAGGTGAGCGATAGAGTCCCACCCAAACTCCTGCTCTACAGCTACTGCCGTTAGCAGCCTCACAATGAGTCCAAAGGCTATGCATCATTTTAAACCACTTCTCCGAGGGTGAGAATCATTAGACATGGAAAAGAGAGGACAGCGTGCTGATTTGACATAATCATCTCAGCAGCTGCCTGCTCTGCAAATGCTGTTCAATCTCAGGGATGTTGCTAGCATTTGCTAAAATGATGTCTGCAAGGGAGACGAGGAGTGGAAGCGCAAATTAAAACACTTGGGAATCATTCTGTCTCAGGTCTGTAATAGTCTGCATTCATTTTAGCTTGGGGGTGTTTTATTGAAACCCTCCCACCCCATCCCCCCCAGTAATTACCCTGTTGTCAATCCACCGTGTGTGAAAGTGCTTCAATTTCAAACCCATGCTATACTAAATTGTTTGAATCCATGCCGGTCACTCTCTGCTACATAAAGCCTGGAAAAAGCATTGCTTTAACTTTTTTTTATCAGGAAAAATGAGGGCTGTTGTTTTCTTGGAATGTCCTGAGTGATCATATTTACCACATAAACCCATTTCTAGTATGTCACCTCATTTTCTGCAGTGCTAGAGATTCACTACTCTTCAAGAGCAGTCCCTCAATGATATCTCAAAGCTCTAGTTAGATTTTAGAAAAACAGACGAGCAGCTCTTCCTTGCTGAGATTGGAAAGGACTTTCAAGTGCGCTTGTCAAGATACCGCATTAGTGTAACCCTCTGCACTCCCCAAATCACCTTGCCATAGGCTGTTTGGCAGTGCAGTTGCAGGAGGAGGCTCCCCAGCAGCATGACAAAATGCCTTCACTTTCCTCTCCAATCATAGTAATGTTTCCCCTTGCTGATTTCCCATCGGGATTTAAAAGGGAGTTTGTAGAGCCAGGACAACTTCTATCTGCCCTTCCTCACTGCTTATTCAGAAAGGCTCTATCGATAATATATGCATTTGTGCCGAGCTGATGCCTTTGTTGTTCTTGGCTCCGCAGCCAGGGGCACAGCTCAGACACAGGTGTTGGGTGCAGTCTTTAGCCACCTTCAGACTAGACCCCAAGTGAGGGATGCAAAGGGCAGAACTACGAGGGGTGGGCTTGTCTCCATCCCCATGGGCCAGATAAGGACAGTAGGAGCAATTGCATTCGCTCCTGTGCTTCCCCACGGAATTGCTATCACCTTGTCCACCAAGGGTACAATGTCCTGAAAATGCAAAGGAAAGCACTTCTGCCTTATTAGCCTCACTTGTATGCTGTCAGGAAGGGAGCCAGCTGTGTATTGGGTTTTTACTCAGGCTGCACAAGACACACCAGCTATGTATTTGACATAGAGCAGCTAATTGCTGGATATCAGCTGCAGTGAGCTGAACTCACCTGGACCAGTCTTCCAGTCAGGAAAATATCCGTATCCTGTTTCTAGTCTCCTGGGTCGCCTGCTTCTCCCTGCAGGTCTTCTTTAACGTGCTGCTTATCTTTCTCACCGTGTTTATGTTGCTTTGAGTTATCAAGCCTAGGGAAGGGAACAGAGACAGCAGGTTACACACAGAGGCAATTTACAAGGTACAAGCAAAGCAAAGCAGAGATAAAAAACAGCCAACCCCCCAGATCAGATAGGTGTGAGACGTGCAAATGCATAATGTCTATCATAGCTCTCATTGTTTTCATATCCATGAGATCATTAAGACATTTCTAAGTCCCTTGAGTCCATGACATGCAAGCCCAGGATATAATAAGCAGGGCTGAATTAATTGCACGATACATTGATGAACAAAATGAAGTAAAGCACTTTTATTGTACAAGGGGAAACGAATACTTTGCATTAAACAGCAGTCACATCAATCCAAATTATGGCTCATGCTGCATAAATGATAATGAGACTGTCTCACTCAGACTGAGTGAGAATGCTGAAAGGAGCAAAGACGCCCACATACTGCTGGATCTAAACAGGGCTCATACTTAAACTGGGACAGTGGAATTTGTCTTTATAACAGTACTCCTTTGATAGATACCTATCCTGGCAGAAGGGCATCCCTATTGTGCTTTGCGCCCAAACAGTGAGCCAGAAATATGGCTATTCAAAGTCTCTTTTTATCTTTTCCCCCACCCCAGGTGTTCTTTTTGTCATTTGGGGTAAAATCCAGTCCTTGGCATTACTGGGACCACTACCACTCATCCCATTTGATGCCACTACTTCTGTGAATAGCAGCAGGGCTTCCCTGCAAGAGACAGAAAAGGAAATGAAGTCACAACTGATGTGTGGCATGTGGCAATAGATGAGTTAGATGAGTTATATTTCAATCTTTCATCTGGTAAAGTGGCACATTCAGAGACTCCTGGGGGGAGACTTTCACAGCCTTTTTTTTTTACTGCTGTTCTGAGCTATGCAGCCGGTCAGTTTTGTTCTGCTGCTTCTTCTGGTTAGCATTTTCTGTGTTGTTTCATATTTGGCATTTAATAATTTGCCTTTGGAGATCTTTAAGCATGCTGCCTATTAGCAGTCAATAGCAGTAAGAGTGCAGTGAAGGACAGGCTAGATGGGGCTGCCTTTGTGGCTTGTTTGAGAATGTCTGCGTGTAGGTTCAACACTGTGATTCTCATGCATAGCCTTGCACTGCATTGCTTGAACTGGAAGTGAGATTGAAGGATGACTCATACATTTCCACATTCAGCTTCTGCAATGAACTTCTGACTCCTTGCTCATTCCTTAGAGGCTCTATCTTTTCTGCAAGAATAAATGATGACAAGAAAGCAACTGACCCAGTAAAACATTGTAGTCTTACGCTGCAGACCGGTAAAGCATACATTGGGCAAGAAGGGAGGGCTTGAGATGGGTCATCCCGACTTCTTGGTTCTGTTAGTTCATTTGCCATACTTGGGGAGATGACTGTTATTATGAGCTGGACAGGAAATGGTAAGTACTGGCTGTACTGTGTGCACTTGGGTTATCACTTATCAACTTCCCTAGCTCTAAAATGAAACAAGCTTTCTTTCAGAATGAGAGATGAAGAACTCATGATTTGGACCAGGCTTTTAGGCAAAGTTCAGTCATCTAGTTCTATCTAGAGAAAAATCTAGGGCCAGAGTAAGGAACTAAGTATCTGCCAGCCATTCTAGCTACATGGCTAGAGACTCCAGTGCCAACCCCAAAGGCTGACCTGAACTTGACTCGGTGATTGTGTGATACAGCTGAGCACAGACAGCACCTTGCAATTGCTTTTTTATTGCTGTTTATCAAGAGTCTCTTTGTCACTTCTCACCTTTTTGTCACAGTACCGGTGTGTGCACAGCAGCTTTCTCTTTCTCCTGAAAGCTGCTAAGTCCTACACACGCTTTGGCCTTCCAGGACTCTGCTTGCAGCCCGAGCACGCTGTCAAACCTTCGTGGGCTGTGTTAGGCATGTAAGCAGCAGGAAGAACTGTTTGGCTGGGTGTTTGGAGTCAACAACTCATCCAGGTGCACTTTTAACCTAGTGGTGGCTTTTGTTTTGGAAACAGGTACTGTGCAATCCACATCAGGTAACTAGAGACTATTTCCTTGTCTGGAATCTGGTCATCTGGCAAGAAATCACTACTTGCCACCCAGTCCACAGAGGCACACTCCAGAAACACCGTGTTGTAGCCAGGTGGGGGTCAGTCTCTTCTCCCAAGTAACAGGCGAGAAGAGAAAATGTCCTCAAGTTGTGCCTGGGAAGGTTAGCTTGGATATTAGGGAAAAAATTCTTCATCAAAAGTATTGCCAAGCATCGGAACAGGCTGCCCAGTGGTGGAACCGCCATCCCTGGAGGTGGTGAAGGGCAGGCAGAGGTGGTGCTGAGGGCCATGGATCGGCGGTGGTTTTGGCAGTGTTGGGGTGATGGCTGGGCTCGATGGTCGGAAAGGTCCTTTCAAACCCAAACGGGTCAACGATCCCACGAGCAGCTCCGCGGCAGAGGGCACGGTTCGGCAGGGCCCGGCCTCCACCTCCCTCCTGGCCCCAGGACGGGCCGGCCGCGGGGCTGGGGCCGGGGCCGGCCGGGCGCGGCGGGGCGGTGTCCCGGCTCCTCCCGCCCCGCCGCCCTCCCCT